TTTTGTGTGGATTAACCAGCAGATTTGCCCCCGTGTGATAACGTCCCCTATTCCAATCTTTCAGTTAGGAGTACTTAACTGAGTGCAATAGCAGATGCTTTTTTATGCACAAGCTCCTAGGTTTAGTCCTCAGTATCTCCAGTCCTAGTTAAGAGCTGGAAAACTTGCCTGCTGAAAAACCTGAATAGCCATTACCAGTTAGTGCAGGCAGCTCTGAGCTGGATGGAGCAATGGTGTGACTCACTGGGTAGCTTTTTTTACATTCATTCCACCCATTCCATTTTTTGCCCAGTCTAAACAAATGTTGCACTTTTAAAAGGCTTTAAAAATGAACCCACCTCCCAGATGATTCCATCTTAAAGGCCCACCAGGGAGAGTTGATTTGCTTGGTTCAGGTAGACCAACATATTTGCACACTCTCCAATTTACATAACCTTGCTCTCCCTTGGGGCTAGAGAAAGGAGGGAGAATGGGAACATAGATTAAAATCACCATGTGAGAAATCTTGCTAAAAAAGACAATCAAAACGGAGGTGCCAGAGGGATACGTAATTTGTTTTGTGGACAAGTACGGTTATACAAGGATGGCTTAGCTGAAAGAACAAGGAGACTCAGCCATTTGCAGACAAAAGGCAGGGGAGAGCAAGGGGTCCCTGTGCCTTTTCTCACTGTTCTGCTCCCAGAACAAACTGGGAAGATCACAAGATATTTCCAAATGGGAAGGGACATTTGGAAAGGAAGACAAATCTTCACTGTCCCCACTATGACCTAAAGTGATGAGAGTCAGAGGCAAGTGATGCTTAGATATCTTCATTTCTGATTTTAGATTCCCACCTCACCTTTATCTCAAGCTTGAAACAAGCTGAAATAAGACATCAGTCCCCTGCAAAAGAGAAACCATATTCACCATGTATTTTGGTGGTCTTAGTCCAGGGGTAGGCAACCTTTCCCCTTTAAGGGCCGAGGGACTTCAGCTCCCAGAAGCCTCAGCCATGTTGGCCAATAGTTCCATGTTGGCCAATAGCTCCTGGGATTCTGGGAGCTGAAGTCCCTCGGCCCTTAAAGGGGAAAGGTTGCCTACCCCTGTCTTAGTCTATTCTCCTCCCCCTCCCCCAACTGAGTCCACTTCCACTTCAAAGCCTTCACCATCACCACTCCATGTTGCTATCATGTAGAGCAGTGGTCCCCAGACTTTGGTCTTCCAGATGGTTTGGCTTTCTGTTCTCAGATTTCCTGACCGTTGGCCAAGTGGGCTGAGGCTTCTGGGAGTTGAAGTCCAAAACACTTGGGCAGGGGTAGGCAACCTTTCCCCTTTAAGGGCCAAGGGACTTCAGCTCCCAGAAGCCTCAGCCATGTTGGCCAATAGTCCCATGTTGGCCAATAGCTCCTGGGATTCTGGGAGCTGAAGTCCCTCGGCCCTTAAAGGGTAAAGGTTGCCTACCCCTGCACTTGGGGAACCAAAGCTTGGGAATTACTGATGTAGAGGGAACATGCCCTTCCTTCTCTCACCCTACTTAATGTAAAGGTCCTGCCTGAGGGCCTTTAGAATAGGCATGGGGAAAATCCTAGCCAGTGGACCATTTATCTTCTGCAAAGCCTTCCAATATGGCCCTTGAAGGCCCAGCCAAGGTTCCATCCAATCTCTCCATGCGCATTCCAGAGAAAGGGAAATGAAGCTAACTTCATTGAGGGTCATTACTTCAAGCACCCAATACTTTTAAGTATTGGTTCCTGGAGGTTTCCCTCATCCCTTGTTCTTACCCTAACAGCCACACTCTTCAGATATCTGAAACACTTTGAAAGAGTAGTTCCTAGGAGCAGTTCCCACTTGGCTGTTAAGCTGCTGACTATCAGCCAATAAGTGGCGGCGGTGGGGGGGGGGGGGGAATGGAGAATTTTAAAACTCTCTCAGTGATCTCCCTTGTTCTCACCACAATGCTCAGATAAGAGGGAAACAGCTGAGATCAGACTTGGAAAGCAGAGCTCTCTGTCCCAGCTTCCCTGCCATTCAGCTTTCCTACTCACTATAGCAAAAGTAAAGCCACCTCTCCGCAAGCAGAATCAGACTGGCAAAATAGAGACAGAGAGTCCTGGTGTAAGTACTCTCTCACACACATGCAAACAGGGAGATCTAAGTAAGGTTCTATTTCTCAACATCCCTCACCCCCAACAATCTATAAAACAGAAGAAATAATATTGGCATACACTATAGAATTCCAGTAATACTGAAAACCAAGCATGCAAAGCATTTGGGAAAAGGGTTCCACACATTTTAAGTATTACTTTCAATTTTCTTCTCAACTTAAAGTCAGGATATG